AATCATTAACAGGCAATCGTTCGATGGGCTGAATTGCACAAAACGCATGATCGCATCGGCTAGTCTCGTGCGCGTTGCCATTTATTCTTTCATGGCCTACATTCTTTCGCTTTATTCTAGCGAAGAAGCGGGGCCGCTCTGCTTTCTTTCGTTGTTTCATCCGAAGTGCTAGCTCTATCGTTTTACTCAAGTACTTGTTGACAGTTTAATTCATTTTCAGTCCCACTATCCTTTCGCATGCACTGTCCACAACAGGAGGTATAACTGTACAGATTAGGCGTACAAGAGTTTCCAGAAGACTGGCGCAAAGCATTCGTTCTGAATAAAGTTGTAAATTTACCAGTTATTGCGGTAACTGTAGTATCAGCGCCATTTGCATAATTCAAAGCATTTGTTATTCCATTGTACATCTAAAGGCAATATTCGGATCACAACGATGAAATATGCGATTAATTAGAGCCCAATTCGGCTGATTCAAGCTCAAAACTATGGTTTTAGTTGCTCTGTGTTTGCAATCTGACTATTTCTCGTTTTTTATCTATTGAAGAATTAATTATCTGTTGTTTTTTCAAATTGAAAAATTGACATGGAACCGTTTCCGAATACAGAAATACTAGAAAGCCCTGAATTCCATGATCTTCTATGTACTCCTGGCCTATGATACCGAAATCTAATTTGTAAGATAAACACAAATACTTGCATATCTACGCACGTACCGATATCTACCTACAGGCACACATATACCGATATATACATGCATACTTTTACAAATGCACAATACAAATAATATTTCGTTATGAATTTTTGATTTGCAGTACAATTTACGAAAAATACATCTCTTTTCATCGTTTCTACCACAGTTATGTTTTAGCGTCTCTTCCTCAGTTAAAAAAGTAAATTTTGCAAAAAATAAAATATTTTAATATTTAAGCCTACCTCCCAAGTTAGAGCATTGTATTTATTTGGACGGTTGAGCTTAATCCAACACAATTTATTTTCCAACGTCACATCTAGTCCTGGTACGGGCTCAAGGCCCTCTGGAGCTGTCGCTGCCTCAGCTTTCGTTTCCATCATTAAGAAACTATTGACGAATTCAACGTACATCTGCTGTGCTTCATCCTGAAATTCCGTGTATGAATAAATTTCCCAATAATCAGCGTAGCGGAAATATATTTTTGCTCTTTAGTTCCAAGTAAATTGAACATTGCAAAAATAATCCATCCATACGCTTCCACCAAAGCTCATGCTTTTTATCCGAATGACTTTAGTGATACCGATGACTGTTCTTCCAGTACCCCACCGGCACAAATTCTCAAAGGGAAGAAAAACAGAATTACTTTTGATTTCCCTTTATATTCCTTCCAAGCATCGAATTTCGCTTGGGCTGGCGATAGCAGAAATGGACGCTTACCCTCAACATCGCCAATTGTAGCCTAAATGAGAATTAA